TCAAACCTATTCTGCTTATTTACTCTTTATATACCTAACGCACTAGCTCCAACAATCAATACGAAACTAACGATTTTAAATTGGCTCACCACTTTAGTAGCCTATTGGTCCCAAGCAAACGATTAACGTACCCTATTCTAGTTGAAATTCTATCACTACACTATGTTTGTTTTGATTCGCTATGAAAGTTTGACAGATAACATCAGGGGTGTGTGGATTCATGCAGAACATGCAGGGTTGAGTGAAATAGCTTGGGACTGCTTGGGACCGTTGTTCTGGTACTGAGTGAGCCAAAAATAATAATGATTTTCTTCGGGACCCAGTGGTCTTAGAGTTACCTCTATGCTAGCTCTGCTGCGAGCTGCTGTTGCTGATCGTTTTGAACCGTTTTACTGTCAAGAACTACTGTCTGCTATAGCTATATGCCCTATGGAAAAATTGCAACACCAACAAAAGTATGGGGTTAAAAATCGCAAGGTTCATGGCTCCAATCCAGTTTCATCTAATGCTTTACTCTATTTTTTTTTACATGGTTTGGTTTAAAAGTAAGCTGAATGTAACTCATAACTTCAACTCGAATGATTCATGATTTCGGGAATCTTAGCTGGGTTACGCTAAAATAGCTCATGATATCATGAATATTATTCATGGTGTATTTCCATAATATGAAAATACGCTATGTTCATGAAAGCATGAGTCATTTACCTCATTTCGGAGATTGGATTTGTTCCCGTGCATATTGTAGAGTAATTGGCAGTTTTTCTTGAATCGATGACCACCATCCCGTATTTGAAAATGGCGTCAGAAATCGATTTCAAGCCTCTACACGCCATCCTTTTTCCGGTTCCTGTTCTCACATTGCACAACAACATCTTATATAGCGGCGCCGGTGGTGTAGTGGTAAGCGTGATTGCCTCTCACCCCAGAAGACCTGGGTTCAATCCCAGTCAGCACCGCCGGGATGTTATGAGGCATAACATTTCTGATCACGCCTTTCTGAAGTAAAGCGTTGGTCCCCGGTTCATGAGTTGATGGGTCGATAGGAAGAGTCCAGGTGTGTAGGAGCTACTGCCTCCCTGGCGTCGGTAGCATTGGTGCTCAGCACGGAAAACAAGATCGACGGAAAACAAATCAAGGAAGAAAAATCAAGGAAGTACATGTACACACTAACGCCGCATAGTGAGAGAGTAAAATAATATGACCACCATCCAAAAGGACTTGGTCACATGAACAATTTTGCTGAAGACAGCAACTTTCTATATGGCCAGGTTCTCGAGATACAGTTTATACAGGAAGATCACTTGCACACCAGCGCCGCGTAGTGAGAGTTTTCTGAAATAATATGACCATCATCCGAAAGGACTTGGTTACCTGCACCAATTTACTCAAGCCAACGACTTTCTATATGGCGAGGCTCTCGAGATGCAGTTTATATAGGAAGTTGCACACATGCACACTCGCACTGCGTAGTGAGGTTTATCTGACCTAATTAAAGATAACCTGAACAACTTTGCTGAATACAGAAACCAGGATTTTGAGATACAGCTTATACATGAAGCTCATGTGCACACTAGCACTGCGTAGGGAGACAGTTCTGAACTAATATTGCCACCAGCAAAGCAAAGCATTATCGAAGGTTCGCTAAACAGCGCGAAGTAACGAAAACGAGCTTCCAATCCTGCTGGAGGATGTCCAACTTGCTGTGAGACGGAGCCTGGTGTTTCAACAGGACGGAGCCCCACCTCATTCCACAAATGCGGTAAGACATTGAACCGTCCGCAGCATTGTTCTTCTTGTCACATTTTTCATACCGTCACTCCACGTGGCCAGAGATGTCCGATTACTACTCGATTAATCGAGCTAATCGATTATCTGTTAAAATAATCGATTAATTTTTAATTGATTATTCAATGCCTCGATTATCTGCTAATCGATTAATTGGCTTTGATTATTGCACGATTATTTAAGTTTTCAATGGAAGTAGGAGTTTAATTTATTTTAGTGTATATAGAACTTACCACCCAGCCAACAAAGCATCGATTAAACTATGTTCCATCTGGAGTTGGGCAAAATAGCTTATCTGGCTGAGCGGATCAGACCCATCCAGCTCATCAAAGGGAGTCTATTCTTTCGAAAACCTCTCTAGCTCACCTTGAAATTATAGAAATGTTGACCCAAATTCAAAATCAGAAATGAAATACGGGGTTTTAGTGACCATAAGCCAATAGAGCTACTAAACAACTGTACAATCGTAAACCAAAATGTGCCAAAAACATATCAGTAAAAGCAAAAAAAAAAATGTATGCGAGGGAGCTACACCTACACTATGTGCCTACACGGAGAACCAAAACTACCCAACGGTTAAGTTCTTTAAACGTACTGCTACAATGTTGATGTCTCTCACTTGCTCTCTTGTTGTTGTCAAAAACGAAAAGAGCAAAACAACCCAAAATTGAGTTCTATTCACCCAACTCGACAGTTCCGTGCGCCAAGTTAAAATTGAGTAGGTTATGTAAAACTCAATTTTTAGTAGTTTAAACTTACCGTTGAGTGAAAACAACTTAAAAGTAAGTAACCCTGTTTACATCCGAGTGAATGACAACAACTCAAAATTGAGAAGGCGTTATAACCATAGAGGTAACTCTAAGACCAGAAGGTCCCCGAGAAACTTGCTCAACTTTTTGGCTCAGCTCTGGTACTCTCTTCGGTCCCAAGCTAATCGATGCACTCCTCGAACATAGGAAAATCCACGAACCCCTCATTTTATCTGTCAAACTTCCATAGCGAATCAAAACAAACATAGTGTAGTACTAGAATTTCGACTGGAATGGGGTACGTTAATCGATTTGCTTGGGACCAATACGCTAGTCAAGTAGTGAGCCAATTTAAAATCGTTAGTTTCGTATTGATTGTTGCTCAAGCTATGCAATCCAGTCTACATACAGATTTTAGTTCTGATGTTAATTCTTCAGCAGATTTTCTCTCACTATTCTCGGCTTCAGCTCCAGATCATCAGCTCAGATCTAGAGATGGGCTCTCAAGCTGTTCTATAGACCCGATTCATTAAAGTCAGCTGATGACCCGTGGTTCATTTTTTGGAACTGCAGCTCATCAGCTCACTGATATCATAAGTCTAATGGTGTATTCAGATCTAACCGTGTATTATCGGAGCGGAGCAGAATTTGCGTTGGAATGAGAGAGACAACTAGTACTCCTCTCCCTATCGTACATTCGCAAAATCTCGCCCCGCGCGTGAAATATCGCTCAGGACGGAATCCACCTTGGTTCTTCAGCACAATTGCTCCCACTATTCTCGGCTTCAGCTCCAGATCATCAGCTCTGATCCGGATCTGGAGCTAAATCGTGCAGAAATGTGAGAATAAAGATCCGAAGAGCTGGACGGGTCCGAGAGCTGTCATGTCAGTGAATCATTCGAGCCGATGATTCAGATCCAGAGCTGAGCTGATAAGCTGGAGAGAATGATGGGATGAGAGGTAAGAGCACATATGCATTGGATAGCATTGGATAATACCAGTAGAAATTTAAGATCATGTAATCGTAGGCACATGTTGAATTACGCACGCATCTTGGTTTACGCGGTGACTGGTCAATGCATAAAGGGGCATTCCTTTTTTTTTTTTTTTTTAGAAATTCCGCCATTAGTGACGGATTGAATGGTTTAGATTTGTGATAACAGTGTGCTGATGAGCTGCGGTTTCTAAAAAAATGAATCGCGGGTCATCAGCTCATTTTAGTGAATCGGGTCTTTAGAACAGCTCGGGAGCGGATTGCCCATCTCTAGTTCCATCCCAACTTGAAGTTCAGAACGTTTATTCTCTAAAGATGTTTGGTTTAAGTAAATGTTTTTTTTTTCTTTTCTTCAGGCAATGAGGCAGTCCAAAGTCAAAATCAATTCAAATCAAATTTAAAGAGTAAAAGTGTATTTTATTGAATTGTTATATCTCGAAACAATAATTTACACATGATCCAAGGATGAATAATCAATATCTACTTAAACACTTTCTTATAGAGAGTATTAAAATATCGATGTAGATTACTATAAAAAAAAACCCAACCTGGGTGAAAAGAACCCAAAATTAGATACTTGTTTTCTTTCCGTGTATGTCACACGTGATAATATCAACAATCAATACGAAACTATCGATTTGAAATTGGCTCCCTACTTGACTAGCCTATTGGTCCCAAGCAAATCAATTAACGTATCCCATTTTAGTCAAAATTCTAGTACTAGACAATGTTTGTTTTGTTTCGCATTGAAAGTTTAACCGATAAAATGAGGGGTTCGTGGATTTTCCTATGTTTCGAGGGGTGCATCGATTAGCTTGGGACCGAAGAACCGAATACCAGAGCTGAGCCAAAAAGATGAGCAAGTTTCTTAGGGACCTTCTGGTCATAGAGTTACCTCTATGCTTATACAACCTTGCTAGTGAAGCCCTATAAAATCAATTTGTTTATAATTGTCAACCACGAAATCAGCTGTCAAGGTGTCCGGCTTGACAGCGGTTTGTTTTTTTTTTTTATTTTTTTTTTCAACCAGTAAAACGCAAGTATTAGTGAAACGACTCTCAAATACTTACGGTGGTAGAGAACTCTATCTTAGAAGTAACTCTAAGACAAGAAGGTCCCGAAGAAACGTGCTCAACTTTTTGACTCAGCTCTTGTACTCTCTTCGGTCCCAAGCTAATCGATGCACCCCTCGAAAAAATACACGAACCCCTTATTTTATGTGTCAAACTTTTATAGCGAATCAAAACAAACATAGTGTAGTACTAGAATTTCAACTAGAATGGGGTACGTTAATCGATTTGCTTAAGACCAATAGGCTAGTCAAGTAGTGAGCCAATTTAAAATTGCAAGTTTCTACCGGTTGACTCTATTGGCTCAGATTTTGACAGTTCATTTGGCTTGATGTTTTGATCATCTCCGCTCATCTCTTCCCCTGATGATTTCTAAGAAAAACAAACTCATTTTTATGGTCGTTAAAATTTATTGAGCCGATTCTTGAGCTTAGCTTTTCGGATTTCTTCTGCCATAGAGAATGGTCTAGCAGTCACCGATGGAGGAATAATGGGCTGTTGGGTGATCCGCCTGGTGTTCTCCAAATAGCTACTGTTATCACTGGTGGACAATGGTGGACTATCACGAGGCGGCGGTCGTGGTCGGAAATTCTGTTGTCGCATTTGCTCCTGGCGCTGTCGTTGCCGTTGGTAGGTTTGCTGAGCGAGCGGGTTCACGTAGTGGTTGATGGTTCTGGAAATTTGACTGGGCGGTTCTTCGCCGAGTTCGAGCTCTCTGGCAACGATATGGGAGATCTGTTTACAGCTGACGTACAGGTACAGCCCGAATGCCGAGGCCAACACTAGTAGAACTAGGAAAACGCCAGTTAGCGAGAGCCATATGGCACTGGATTCGTCGTAGTAGTCTTTCTCGGAAAAAAGATTTGAAGGGTCGAACGGTCGGGATGGAGAAGGTCGAATCGTGGAAGGGGGGTTGGCTGTGGTTAACGGCGCAGTTGACGAAGACGTATCAGGAAGAGTGGTTGCGAGTGTAGTCTGCGTTGTTGTAGGAGGGTTAATGGTAGATGCTCGCGTTGTTGGAAGTTGAGTTGACTGAATTGTTGTAGTTCGTGCAGTAGTACTTCGAGGAATAGTCGAAGTAGTTGATGGTGATGCGGTTGTAAGGGCAGGTTCCGATGTAGTAGACTGCAATTGAGGTGTAGAACTTAGTTCTGCTACGAACTCCGTAGTTCTTCTGGTTGTAGAGGTTTTACTAGTTGTTCTGGTTCGACGGGTAGAAGATGTATCAGTAGTGGAATTCTCCGATTGAAGCTTTTCTGTTGTTTCATCAATCGCTGGTGTGGTAGTAACTGGAACAGTTGTACTTTGCCTTGTAGTACGACGAGTTGTTGTTGAGGGTCTGGTCGATTGAGCCGTTGTTTCAGGGATCACAGTGGAAGCTTCAAACGTTGAAGTACTGGGCGTTGATGTTATTCTTGTGCTGGGAGTGGTCCTAGGACTAGTCCTGGTTATAGTAATTGTGCTAGGTGTAGCGGTTACTGTAGTAGTTGTTACCAGAGATACGGTTTGGGGAACAGTTGATGTAGTATCAGCTGTTGAGGTAGTTGTAGTCTCTACCGGAGTTGTTGTAGAACTCGATGTGCTTGTAGTAGTGGTTCTTGGCGTCGTAGTAGCTACAGGTGTTGTTGATGGTGCCGTTTTTGTTGATGTTGTTGTTGTTGGTGTTGTTGTTGGTGCTGTTGTTGTTGTTACTGTTGTTGGGGATGTAGTTGTAGGAGTTCCAATCGTGATGGTTTGAGTGGTAGAAGCCGTTGTACTGGGTGTTGTAGTAGTGGTTGAGGGCATAGTTGTGAATGTGGTTGGAATTGTAGTTGTTGATCTGATCTGGGTTGCAATTGTGGAACTAACAGGGACAGTAGTTGTAGCTTCCGTCGTAGTCGTCGTTCGACTTGTGGTAGTGGTAGTTGTAGCTGTTGTAGTGGTTGGCGGTTCAGTTGTAGTTGACAGTGTCGTTCTACTTGTTTGCCTTGTAGTACTTGCTGTGGTTAAAGGAATAGTTGTAGCTACCGTAGTCGTAGTTGTATCTGTTGTAGTGGTTGGCGGTTCAGTTGTAGTTGACAATGTCGTTCTACTTGTTCGCCTCGTAGTAATTGGTGTGGTTAAAGGAAAAGTTGTAGCTACTGTAGTCGTAGTTGTAGCTGTTGTAGTGGTTGGCGGTTCAGTTGTAGTTGACAATGTCGTTCTACTTGTTGTTCTTGTTCGCCTCGTAGTACTTGCTGTGGTTAAAGGAATAGTTGTAGCTACCGTAGTCGTAGTTGTATCTGTTGTAGTGGTTGGCGGTTCAGTTGTAGTTGACAATGTCGTTCTACTTGTTCGCCTCGTAGTAATTGCTGTGGTTAAAGGAAAAGTTGTAGCTACTGTAGTCGTAGTTGTAGCTGTTGTAGTGGTTGGCGGTTCAGTTGCAGTTGACAATGTCGTTCTACTTGTTGTTCTTGTTCGCCTCGTAGTAATTGGTGTGGTTAAAGGAATTGTTGTAGCTACCGTAGTCGTAGTTGTATCTGTGGTAATGGTTGGTGGTTCAGTTGTAGTTGACAGTGTCGTTCTACTTGTTGTTCTTGTTCGTCTCGTGGTTAAAGGAACAGTTGTAGCTACCGTAGTCGTAGTTGATCGTGGAGTTGTAGTTGTACGTTGAATTGTTGTTGTCCGTAGAGCTGTAGTTGAGCGTTGAGTTGTAGTTGTGGGTTCAGGCGTAGTTGACCGTGCAGTCGTACTCGATGGTCGTGGCGTATAAAATTCATCTAGCTTCATACAAAATTCCTCCAAAACCAACGGATTAAACACCGTCATATATTCAAATGCAACGTCTCCATCGTCGCTCATTTCAACCTCAAGCTGCAACCTAGCTTTTTTGACTTCTTTATCCACTCGGCCCGCAAACAAACTCCACGTCCTCGTGGGCTGACGCGTTGTCCAAACTTGGGCAATTATTGGCCTTCCTTGTCTATCGAGTTGATCCAAATCCAGAATCCTTATCGTAAGCGTGGACTCCGTTTTAAACAAGAACTGATACATCATCCGTAGTTCCGTAAAGGAATTCACAAAGAAACTGTCAATCGATTCGATACAACTAACACCGGGACCAACATTCGACAAGAAGTATTGCACATTCTCTCTGTATGGTTCAAATTTGGAGGATCCCACGTAGGCAGACAGACGCATTATTTCCTTTCCACCCTCCGAGCATTGTCGAATCTTGTAGGACGTGAAATCGTTAAAGTCAATCCGTTCGCAAATCGCATCCGCGGCATTCAAACTTATCGGTAGGAAGACCAATACAAGTACCAGCACAAAACTGCTCCTCAAGTGGTTTGAAAACATTCTAATTACGACTACCCGCCACACATTGACTTGGTACAAACTTCCGATAATGACTAACGACTGTGGTTCGTGAAAGGAAAATGACGAACATTCTCCTTCTCCAAAATTGATATCGAAAACAGACAGTAACAAGTGATAACATGGCAAGAAGCATTCATTTCACGTCAATAATGGTCAGCTTTCACTGGATGCGACAGTTTCGGTGTCTGAGCTTCTTGGAAGGTTTCCTACACGGCGCTACAGATTCTACCAGTTCTTATCTATTGCGAATGGAACAGGGTTGAATGGTGCTCTGAACACTGGTTCACTTTTAATGATCTTTCTGTTTGGTTTGTGTTCCTTATCTGAAATAAAAATGAATCTAAGGTACAACCCAAGCGTGTGATTAAAGTAAAATTCATGTTCTTGGCTGAAAAAAAAACAGAAGAGGTCCAGAATATAGATAAGAAGACAATGTAATAGCGAATTCGTTTATTATCGGGGTTGGAACCAGTTCCAACCCAGTGCGAAACCGAACTTTTTGTCAGTGCGAACCTCAACCTGAGCTGGGTTTTAAAAACAAACGATCAAACTGACGTTTGTCAGAAAACAAGCAGACCCAATCTTGATACCCGATCCAGGTTGGAACTGAATAATAAACGAATTCGCTATAAGTATTTCTGTTGTTGTTTTGGGCTTCAACCTCAATGCAGTTTGGCGGTAGAGTTTTGTTATTAGTTATGTGTGGTGGTACCTTAATCTTAATGATGATTGAGCTCCAATCCTTTGTGGCATAATTTCGAGTTCAATTACTACTTATTTTTACTGTCCGAAATGGTTCTAACAGTGTGAAGACTTATGATGATTTGCTGTTTGAACCAGAGTTGCGACCTATTACAATCACGATCGTCAAACAGCTGATGGTAGTAAAGCTTAGTTCATTCCTATCAATGTGCTTGTCGCAGCACTCTCCATGACCAATGACCATCCATCAAGTTGACGAAAGAAGTAAAAAGCAATTGGTGAATGTCGCCTTCGGTGGTGATCTATCACCGATCTGGTCGTTCCCGACAATCACGACACTCATCTGTGCTCGTTTTGAACCAGTTGCTGCTTTGCTTGCTTATGCGAGTGTGATGGTGAGTAGCCCAGCAGCTTCCACTTAAGTTTGCCAGCATTGTTTGTAACTCACGCAGTCGCGCGTGCCGAGACGAACTTGGAACTCGTAGGCATTGTTTTCATTTTCTTCTGTCGTTTCGCTTTTTCTCATCATCGTACTGCAGGAGTCTTCATTTTTTTCGTTGTGCTTTACATCATCAGCAGCGAGTGTTACGTTTTGCCTGTGAGTAGCAACCATTACTGGTGATTGTTGTTTGCCGTGACAAAACGTTCTGTCAGCGACTGTCGGTTTATGCGTTGCCGAGTGTCGAGTGAGTGTCATGATATTTTGCATCACTGATATGAGCCTGTTAGAATAGCCATATGGATCTTACACTTGTTGGAGGTTGGCTTCTTATAGAAATTAGCTTGTTATTTTTTAATATTTGTCTTTTATTTATGACTTCAATAAAGCTTAAACTAGGCACTTAAATTTCAGAAATCGAAAAAGCATCCCCTTTGCGAATCTTGTCTTAAGACAGTTGTAGGCAGTAATGGCATAATCTTCACTCAAATGATTTTTTTTTCCCTCTCAAGGACTCGAAATAATCACATGTAAAATTACTCCTACGAGTTAACTCAGCACAAAAATGATTCCGTTGTACATCGTTTTCATAGAAAGAGAAAGTATAGTTTGCAATCTCTCTTTACTCTTCACAGATGGCAGACACGAAGTTACTACTGCCAGCAGTGATGGAAGTTTCGGTTCATGTTCGAGTGTACAACAAATATCTTGAAGCTCAAACTCACCACGTTTGGTGAGAATTGTAATTGGTGAGTTTTGTTAACATGATATCAGAACTACCGCATCCAAAGCTTGTAATTCGCCGTTTTTTCACACGAATTTTGACAGTTCCTTATAGGATTTTGTGAGGAAGTGAGAGAATAAGAAAAAAGTTCGCTATGTTTCACACATGGACTGACAGTCACACATGCAATTTCTCCATAGGAGTAAAGAGTTACAGAGCTCTCGTCAACGCCAATATCATCCTCTGTTTGATGCATGTTGATTTTGTTTACGATAATCAAATGAGAGTAAAGTCTGGTCCACTTAGAATCCAAACACATAAAACCAGTTGTTTCTCGGGATTGATTTAACGTAAGAAAAATTTGATTTTTTTTTCCTCTGTTCGGGACCTAACACTAGTGCGACCAGTAAGTTGATCTATTGTAAATTGATCTATCCCGTGTTCTTAGTTTAGTGCATGTCATATTACTCCATCACTATTGAGAAATGATGAAGTATTCGATTTTTTTTACAGTTGCCACTCTTGCATTTATCGCAAGGATCCGACTCTAATTGAAAGGTCCCGCTATTTATACCCTTCGGAGTGTTGAAACACCCTCCAAAGGCGCGCCCCTTTGTCAGTCAAAATTGGATTCCTTAGCAACAAAATTAAGGTATGACACCGATAATGACCATGCATCAGAACCCTAGTCTTAACCGCTTCAAACTAGGGAACAACGAATAGAAGATTAGGAATCACATAGATGAAGACAACTAACTCATTTTTTTTCCTTGTTTCAAGATCATCCTCGGTGGACAAAGCCGAGTCTTGTCATAATCAACAAGGCATAAAAAGTAACAAGGACTAAGATGTGTTCCTTGGATTACTGAAAAATCCTGTTCCCCTAGTTTGAAGTAGTCAGGACTAGGAATCGGTGGTAGATCTTACATCCCGTAACGTACCACGAAAAGGTGATCTACCCACGTTACGGGGCAAAAAAAAAATTTGATTTAGTCAACATTAAGGTATTTTATTTTAATTTTATTAAAAATGAAAAATTACTCCGACGACGTTCGGATGAACTCTCACTGGACTGGCGGACTCAGCGGTATTTTTTTTTTTCAATGTCGAGCCATCTGTGCAGCGTCTTGAGTCGTCTTTCCAGTTTTCTTTAACTTCTGCTTGATAATTGCCCAATTGCGGGCAGTTGGGTGGATTGATATCCTAGTCGACGAAATTCACCTTATTGTCGCGATACCACTGTAGCAAATCCCGGCTGTAGTGGCAGCTTGCCAAATCTGGCCAGAACTTCACTGGATATTTGTGAGCCTCTATGTCCATCGTTTAAGATGAAAAGCTTGGTTTTGAGTCCACAAGCTACAAACTCCTTGCGAGATCATCAGTTTACGGGCGAATTCATCGACGGAAAATCTTGAATTTGCTGAGTACATCACCCCGTGTAGTGATCAGATAAAGCTTTTGTCCGGGAACTTGTCTGAAATCCATCTTGATATAGGTTTCGTCGCCCAGGACAAGGCATCCTCTGTACTTCGTTAGAACACGGTCGTACAAATTCCGGGCGCATATTCTGACCACTAGATACTGCTTCATCGTCCTGTTCGGTTGCTTGGAGACACGGAATGAGTGGTAACCTGCTCACAGACGGATCCTCCGGACTATACTACGACTGAAACTGTATTTTTTTTTGGCAACATTCCGATCCGAGAGCCTTGAGTTTATCTTGATCGACCTCAACACCTTCCAGTTCAGCTGCCGATCCTTCCCAGCCACACTCTTGCGATCACAGAACCGCATGAGAACATCTCCCACGGTAGAACTGGCAATTTTCAATTCTTTCGCGATATTTCGAATTGACCACGTTGGGTTTTGGACGTGGGCGTGCAGGATTCTCGTCTTCCATCGATAGGGTGTCTCATAAAGTATAAGCACTGTTTATTATTGGCATAAAACAACGTTATGTTAATGACCTCAAATATGTTTTCTATGGTATTTTCTTTCAATTGAATGAAAGTAATCCGCAGTTGTTTAATCGTATGTCGAAGGGCGAATTTTTGATCTGAAGCTGCCCATGAGCTTCAGCACAGATTCCTTGGCGATAATTTTGACCAGTTCCGTCCAGTCTTTTTCAAATTCTTCGAAGGATTTCGCTGTCTTAAAGTATTCCCTCAGATATCCCTTGGAAAGGGCCCAAAAAGTATCGATTGGCCGGGCCTCCGGACTATTCGGAGGATTCATCTCTTTTGTCACGTATTGTATGCTTTTTACCAAGGTACCGTCTCTATCGAGTGGTGCATTAACGCCAAATCAGGCCAAATTAGTACTGAGCCATCATGTTGACGGATCATGGGCGACAGACGCCGATTTAAACAATCCCACACGTAAATTTCAGTGTCAATTGACTCCTTTGTCACATATGACTTTGACAACTTGCCATACTCACGCATCGCTTGCCAAACCATGGCCTTTTTATCAACATTTTTGGTAAAATTGACTTATCGACATCGTCAACTTCCTGACCATCACGGACTGTGTAGTATTGGTCTCCCGGAAGCGTCTTGTACACCCAACCGGTGGATGTAAGATTCGCTTACAATTATGTGGGATTCATCAACAGAGGATGTAAGTGGAGACCACATGAACCGAGGATGCTATATACCTAGCTGCTGTCCAATGCAAGAAAATTGGAGACCGAAAAATGTAGAGTGTATTAGTGAGGTAAATTAATTATGTTGAAAAAAAAATAGGAAAAACGTTGCCGACTGGACTCGAACAACGAACGTTGCGATTATCAGACCTGTGCTTTCTCCACTGCTCTCTCCATGCTTCTGAATAAGGTTAGCCTAAAAGCAAACATGAAGCGCTCATTTTCTCGCATGCTCGACTTCGTATGCTTTTTCTGCTGGAGAGATTCGAGACAAGTATGTGCGTCGTTCTACCATGTTATACATAAAAATCAAGGCAAATGCTTGCTTGTGTAGGCGAAAGCACAGACAGAACACGAAATAAAAAAGGCAAAAAACCATTACATCGCCTGCAAGGTCAACTTCTAACATTCGCTGCGATGTTCATGAACAGAGGATGATAGGAAATGGAACTAACATTCATTGCAATAGATTTTTGGTTTGCGTGGACGTTACCCTTC